ACTGTGACCATGATATCTTTCATCAACAACCTGAGAGAGGACCATTCGAAGCGTTAAACTGCCCGAATGCGGGAGTGCATTCCAGAAAAAAGAAACCTACAGTGGTGGAGAACGCATCAAGCGGTAGGATGCTTTGAAGGCTGCTCTTACAGGTTGCTGAATTTTCGTGTGAGGGTTATGGTTTGGTACTAACCCCGAGAAAAGAATGGACAAAAGGATAGATTTCAGCGTTACATTGGGACAACGGTTACAATTCTACCATATATAATCGACTATGTCCGTGCGTGTGCGTCTGTCTCTTTGACACGAAATTCATAGCGCCGATCCCAGTAGCAGCGAGTTATTGGTTCCAAGATGTGACGTAGACGGTGTGACGGAACGCACCATATTCGTAATGCGGGTCACAGCATCAGCCAGGTGTTGATTCCAACATATGATTTAGGGTATGGGACAGGAACATTATTGGTGGATGACAAGAACTGTCAGCTGCTGATTCGAGATGTTAGAAGGGTATGGTCACTGAGTCCATCACGCGAGTCACAGCAACAGTAGGAGGTTGGTTCCAAGATACGATGTAGGGTTTAGGAAAGGAACACTAGGTTGGTGACAAAAACTGCCAGCATCTGATAAGATTGGATAAGGGGCGTCAGGCTCTTTCTTTTGATGTCATTAGAATTTCGGAAGTAACAAAGCGCTGTATGTTGCACGATCCTCTGGCCAGATTCAACTTTAACCCATTGCTCGAGCTATTTTCAATTATTTTTCTACATTTTGCTAAGGAAAGAGTGCCTGGCGAAGCCAGGCCGGCCCGGCGAAGCCGAGCCATGAATGACAAAAAGGAGGAGCACCCAGCGGCAGCCGGGTGATCCGACTGGTATTTGATAAACTGTTAAAAAAAAGTGACTCACATGTTCACGATCCGAAGATGCGGTTCAAGTCCGACTACACAGTATTATGTAGATACAACGAGGAGGAGTCGATGCATCTCAAATGAAATCGGAGAGCATTCTTGAGGGAGACCATACCTTTTTAAAGGCAGCGCCCACGTTCACTTGATGTTCCTACGCCCTTTCTGGATATCATAGCCCTCCCCATAAGGATGCAGTATGTACTAGTTTTGCATCTCAGAAAGGCGAGAGGATAGCGCCTATCGCTAGTAAAGAGTCGACCGCCCCCCACCTGGCGACCACGACGCCCAACTTCATTTCTAATGGTTGCCTGATGGTGCGGTTGTTCCATTGCTGCTTCTCTCCACGTCGTGTGGTGAGAGTGAGGTGATAAGGGGAAACAGCTGAAATCAACAAGTGAGAACTCGTGCAACCATTCCTTCCTTTCGCCTTGAAGAATTTGGCACGACAAATCCCCCCTCTATCCCCCAAAACAACTAGGATCAATACTTCTGGCACCGCGACCCTAGGCAGGCGCTGCCTAGCGGTTTCCCCGAGGAAAGTGCCCTTATAAGGGCCCTATCAAGCCACAACTTTACGTCCCAAACGCCCGCCACGCCCGCCCGCCCACAAATGGACGACCGTTCCTGACGCTCGTATTCATTCATTTGCTAAGCAAATTATGAAGCGAAGGGATTGGTATGAAGCGGCCGTGATGCTGCATACATGGGTACACATATGCAGCCGTATCTTCGGTAGCGGTGATTGGTAAGATGCCTACGGGAAACTCGTCCGAAATCGATTTACAAGTCACTGAGAACGGAGGCTTTTTCTCCGTTTCACTCCGTTCTTTCGCCATTTCCCCCACTATACAGCCCTACTAGCATTTTAGGCTAAGTAGGAAAGCATCGTGCCAACTGCCTTCAAGCACGTACAACCGCTGTTCGCTATGAAACTCCTTATAGGGCATTTTGCATGTTTTCTTTTTGATTTTTCTTCACTAATAGGTTTCTTGCTACCTTGCTATTTACTACCTGAGCCGCATACTCATCAAATTTGAACGCGGGCTCTGCCTTTTAAGATCATCGTGGGTGACATTACCACTCGGATTCGCTCAGGAAGAATAACTGAATGAGTCGGTGAGATTTCTCCATTGTCGCCAGCTCTGTCGCTCCTATCGAAAACTTCAAGCGAGTTTTTGCGTAATTGCATGAAGTTCCGTCCTCCTTCTCATGTCGTCTCGCTTGGTTCCAAGTTTTCTAAGAATGCCCCAAGCGGTCGCAGTCGTGAGACGACCACTCTAGTACGATCTGTATTCTCTCCAGTCTGACAACTATGGTGTATTTTGCCCCGAAGCAGTCGTACCAAAATTCTCTATTCCTCACTTGTGCAGCAGCTTCGCTGCGCCAAGAGGAAAAAGAGAGATGCTGGATCGCTGCTACTACAAAGCTGTAAATTGCGAGACACAACATGACCATCACCCTGCTATAAGCACAAGTCTGGTCATCCACTACCCGCCCCACCGCGCGATCAGCCCACGACTGAGTTGAGTTGACGGAATAAAACGATTTTAAATTCCCATGGAAACCGACATGAGAAACAGAACAGCTCAAGTGTTCGACTAACTAAGCTAGAAGAGCTGAAGAACGATTGATTATGGATAATCATATGAAGTGCACTTATAGTGCAGTTCACTGCGGACGGTTGAGCGTGTCAGGCAGTATGAGTATGTTACGCCGTCAAAGCCGTTCTCTGCCTTCTTGTTGAAGCGCACATGAGGCAATCAGTATGTAAAACGAGTAATACAAAGACATAATGCGGTCTCATCATTTGATCGCTTCAACAACTGGTGGAGGACGCTTTTGGCACAGTGCCAAACCCATCCCGCATAACCTGACACGCCCAACCGTCCGCAGCGTGCAACACAATACCATTGTATGAACAGTATTTTGTAATGTAAATGAAACGAATTGAAAGGAAATCTTTTATCGAGCCGTAGAGAATATTGAATGAGTGAAACGTACTGAACACATATCCGACGAGAATGTCTTACAAACGCACGACTATCTAGAGGAAATCCACATAATGCCAATTGTAGGCAATACACAAACGCGCGGAACGGTAGCAAGCGCGTGTTTTGCTGACAGTTCACGCGGCATTCAGGGTGGTAGCATAAGAGACATATTTCTACGGCAATTATGGCGCGTATGCTGAAAGGACTAGAGTCGCGTTTACATCGGCTCAAGAACTGCATTGTGAACGGCGTTCCATGAGATTCTTAAGCTCCAAGTTTTCTGATCGTCCTCCAGATCAATTGAACTGACGATCAGTGATGGGTGATCGTGCAGAAGAAATCTACAAGATCGCGCAAATTACCACATCTTTAGGAGACCGCGTCCATCGGTCCCGTACTGATCACTAGATACGGAAGGGAATGCCTTTGCACAGGGGGGTTTCTTTAGGCTCGTTTTGATTGGAAACCTCTCAGACCTGCCGTGAGCCTCACGGCTAAAACGAATTTATCAGAAACTTGTGCCTCATCCTAGTTCTACAGTGGCCTCATATGGTTGACAACTTATTGAGAGTACGCTTTTTTCGAGCTGAAAGGAATTCAATTGAAGAATCTGAAATTAGCGAGCAGTCCAGAGGATTTCACTTTCAAAAGACTCTCGGGCGTTCTGAGATCATGAAAGATGAACTTGCCGAATAACATTGGGTACAAAAAAGCCCACTTTCAAAAAAATACCCGTTCAGAGGTTAGCATTGAGCATACGCTTGTGAAACAGCCAACAAGCTCTAGGTGGGGTACAAAAGCGAATGATGCATGAATGACTTGCAAATGTAGGTCTGGTAAGTCGAGTTGTTCTGAATAAACTACGTGAATACGCCTTTCACAATTTTTCACAATCACTAACTTTGTCTTATCTTGTAATATGGCAAGCTACGTAAAAAAGCGATCAAGTTTGGATTGCTCTTTTCCATCTGTTTGCATTGGAACCTTCTTCATTCTGACTTTCAGAGGGTGGCACCACTGAACTACATTGCGGTGCCCACTGAGTCATTTTGTGCCAACAAGAGTATGGTTGTCGTTATTCATGTAAAGTCAGATGACGTACTCACTCGAAATACATTGCGTAGAACATACGGAGATAAACGACTGGTGGAAAAAGTACGGTCTGTTATGGGGTATCAAATTTGTTTACGCTCTAATAGTTAGTATCAGTTTAAGTTCAGTTACAGTCTTCTCTTTTCCGTCGGCAGGGCGGGAGGCCCAGAGGAACAAGAGCTCTTGAGAGAGGAAGCTCGACTTAATGGAGACATTCTTCAGACAGACGTTGTCGATGCTTACAGAAAGTTAACATACAAGGTATGTTCTCCGTCTGTCTTTTGCTAAGTATTATCCGGCTGCACGTGCAATAGCAGAGAATTCCTGACTTAGCCAGATACATATCTATGCTTCGACTGATCCTATTACAAGCAATAAGGTATACCTATGCACGCACTTTTAGCCTGTGTGAGTATGGAATTGAAAAATTTTAGAGTGGAGAGCTAACGAGCTATACCGTAAATTATAGAAATGTGAGATCTTTCTGGTCTGTAGGCTCAGCCATTCACGACCATGTATGTTCCCACAAAATTATGGTTTCTCTTCCTCGAAAGCAAAACTTGCACGAATACCTATAAATGAAGAAGTGCTATGCGGCAGGCATATACACCAACTACGTTGATTTGTTAAAGTGGATCTTCCCCGAAGATAGGTTGTGTTTGACCGCTGGATAAAAGGAGGGTAAGTGAAATGATGGTTTTTTAGAATTTTATACCATGATAGCGAACGGAAGAAGAAGTCTTTCTGAACGAGAAAGCAGTAGATCACCGGTAGGGGCTGATTATGGACGGTCCTTGCTTCCTGTTTCCACAATTTTTGCAACTAAATTGTCGTGGCTGAAGTAGCAAAAAGCAAAGGCTCAGCAAATAAGCCTTCCCCTTTACCTTTGGGAAGCAGTAGTATCAGGAGCGATTAGATAGCTCAACCATGTTCCGACAAAAAGTATGAGCTCAATGATTTCTGCCAGTTTTTAGAGTGATAGGAGGCCAGAAGAATTGCTGAATTACTGAATTACTCCCCATGGCAGACCATAGTTGCGAAATTTAGCAATGTCATACGATCGATAGCATCACAAACGGAACCTTGTCAACCAAGGGTGCGAGGGTTTTGAAGGGTGCACATTGGCTAGTGGTCATTAATCAGGGCCAATAGGTAGGGACAGATAGTTTCTCAGAATCGGGAGTTAGGCCAAGTGTTTGGAGCAGATAAGTTGTCCAGCGACCAGCTCCAAAGTGTCACCATGTGATGCACGCAGTAGTGTGTCCTCTTATGCGTTGAGCGGCCGCTCTGGGAACGATCTGGTCAGAACTTTAGGCACTCAATGATTATTCCACCTAGCAGCTTTGTAGGCGCAAAGGAGAAGAATGGCTCAGAGTATAGCTTGATAGCTTATGACGTGGCTTAGAGATTTGCGCAAGTATCGGCAACTATGTTCGTGCCCTGTGGTCCGTACAGGGTCAATCGCATGTCGTTGAGTCCGCAAGGTGATAAAGGTGTCTGACCCGCTGGTAGGAAGGGATGGTCGTATGTGCTGGTGCCAATAATTAAAAGAGTAGCGGCAACATCAATGGAACGTTGCCATTGCTCTTAGGCGTCGTGAAGTGTGATGTCTCCGTCGAGTTGGAAATTAATGACAAATTAACTTATTATAAATGTAACTGCTAGAAGGCTGCAAGCTAATTTTGTGTGCATTCTGAATGTAAATTCTGCGATTCTGAATGCAAGGCGAGTAAGTGCGCATCAAATAGAGCGAGCATATATGTGCTTCAGTTCCTCTTTGTAACTAGGAGTGGTTTGTTGAATGCTTTCCGCGGTTTCTGGATCTAAGGGCTGTGTAACCGAGAGACCGCTGACACCAACCTCCGAAGCAAAATCTGGGACGGCAAATTCCTGCTGTACTAGACCTACTGCAAAAGTGTTGTTATATTAAAGGCAGCTGGCACGATAAATCGCTATACAGGTGTAGGATTTGTACGAACTGGCTTAACAGAATTCCGTGACCTCGGACAGGCGCTGCGTGAAGCCTTTCCTCAGGAGGGTGCCCCTATAACGCCCTATTGAGCAAAAACTTTACGTCCCAAACACCTTCTTTGCCCGCCCGCCTTCTTTTGGACGTGTAGGATCCCGCCACGAGGACGTGCCGCTGTGGACCGTCTTCGTGGTGGGATCCTCCTACGTGTAATGAAGTGTCACGTAGGGAAAAATTCCTTCTCCCACTAGTATGCGGTCTGGTTTTTATTATTGTTTATTGTTTATTTAGATTGTTATTGTATTGTTGTTCGATATTGTTTATTTCCAGGTTTCCGCTGAAACCATGCAGTTATGCATGGTTTCAGCGGAAACCGCCATGCAGTTACGCAGAAGTATAGAGAGTTTCACATTTTCAATTTAAAAAGCGCAACAACAATGAAGTAGGGTAATACAAGTAGTTGAGTAAAGAGTGAGTAGTAGTAAGAAAAGTAGTAAAGTAAAGAATAAGAAGTAGGTAAAAAGGAGCAGAGTAATAAAGCAATTAAATAGGGTTCATCGATCGAACCGCTCAGCTGGCGTCGGCTGGCAAAAAGCCAGCAGTGAGCGGATCAACGGGACACTCGTCCACTGAGCGCCCGCCCCACCGTTCTCTCGTCCACTCCCGCAGTAGAGCGTGGAAATAGAGCCCTCGTTTCCCTGTTTTCCCACCGTTTCGCCTCATTTCTTCACCGCCTTTAGACTACTAGTCACCATAGCTGCTTTTCAAGCTCTACTCGAAATTATCGTGCCAACTGCCTTTAAGGAGGAAGAAACTACTAATTTTTGAAGGCATTCAAATAACCGCTAACTCTATGTCTCGACGGTTCGCGATCAGGTATCGAAGTTAAAAGTATGGCGTCAGGAGGTTAGAGTGGTCCGCAACGAGCAACCTTGTACCGGTTTCGCGGCAAAAAATTCTAAGGGAGGGGCGCTATAGCGCAATATAGGTTCAGTGGTTCCTCCTTTTTTCCAGTGACTCCGCCTCCAGACTCCCTCCAATGCCCGGCTTTCACTGAAAAACGAGACTGCAGGATGAAAAAGCGAAAATCTCACTTGCACGGTAGCAGAGCTCTTATCGGTGAATCAGCTGTGCGTATGAGGGCGTAGTGTGGGAGATAGTCAATTGGACACGTACAAAATGGAATTACAATGGGGATCTATCTATGGGCAGGTGCAATGTTTTTTTGTGCTTTTTTCTTCACTGTCGAGTTACTCAACCTTTTCTCGTCTATATGGAACCTCCTAATCCACTATCTAGGATGGCAAGTAATCGCGGGTCCTGCCTTCAAGAAAGTTGTGTCCATTAAATGGTCGAAGAACCCGCTTTAGACAGAAATCTTCCGCTCATTTCTACCGTTCGGGACAATTACTCTGATGGTGAAGCTGCAGCAAATTGTTGTGCTTATTAGCTATAGAAAACCTTCAGAACTATAAGACCGTGCAGGTTCCCTACAGGTTCCCTCTTTTGGTTACGTCTGGACAGAATAGTTTACTAAATGTGAAAAACTTGTTTGTGTTTGTATTTCTGGTGTGGAGCCACCGTGCAAGCTTGCAATAGCTCCAGTATATTTTGTATAAACTCTTCTCATAAAAAGGAGTTATGCTCACCGCTTTGCAGAGATAATTTGTGGATGGTGGTGTGCATTTCAAGAGGATCGAAGTTCAGTAGGAGGAGCGCCTTTCCTTACAGCAGGCGACGTGACCGCAGAAGTTAGGTGCATATATTAGGTTGTCGCATAGGTTCTTATACACGTGTTTGATCCTCTCCTATTTCGTTCGCATGGATGTTGGTATTACGTCATCACGTGTGCGTGACGTGTACATTATACTCTTTCATTACACTAGCTATCACTCACCGAGCTTGCATTTGCAGTACACAATGTCGCACAATTTGCACTGTGACAAAACGTACCTGCGCCACTGTTTGGTTTTGCTCCACGATTTCGGCTGGAATGCAAAGGAAGCCCATAAGCTGGTGGACATACGGTGAGGACGTCATCTCTTACATGACATGCAAGAATTGGTTCGCCAAATTCAAGAAAGGAGACTTTTCTCTCGAAGATGCTCCGAGGTCGGGTCGGCCGATGGAGTTGGATTTGGAAGTACTACGTTCCACCGTGGAGGAGGACCCGTACCTCACCACCAGAGAGGCGATCATGCTTAGCTATGATCATTCGACGGTTGCACGTGGACTTCACTTTCTCAACTCGTTGATCAAGAGGCTTCACTTTCTCAACTCGTTGATCAATGGAGATGAGAATTGGGTCCTCTACATAACCCTGTGAGGAAGCGGCAGTGGGTTGACAAAGGAGAACAGCCAGAAGCCACCCCAAAGGCCGACCTTCACCCCAAAAAGGTTCTCCTGTCCTGTTGGTGGTCCAGAAGAGGCATGGAGTACTGGGAGCTGCTGGAGAAGGGACAGACGATTGACGCTTCCACATACGTGACCCAGCTGCGGAAATTGAAAGATCACGTCGAGTGCGGAAGGAATGCGGAAATCTACTTCCACCATGACAACGCCCGACCTCACACTGCAAAGGCGACCCAGGCCGAGCTGGAGAAGTACGGGCTGATGGTCGCCCACCCTCCCTACAGCCCTGACCTCGCTCCTTCTGACTACTGGCTGTTCAGCCACCTGCAGCGCTATCTGGACGGAAAAAGTTCGAAACAAAGGATCAGGTCAGAAAGGCGCTCGACGACTTCTTCAAGTCCCAGCCTCCGTCGTTCTGGAAGGATGGAATCGACAAGCTGCCTGAGCGCTGGCGTCGAGTAGTGAATGGTGATGGTGCATACCTCTAATCTCCAGGCTGGTTCGTTTTTGAGATATTTACAAAAAAGTCGTGTATAAGAACTTATGCGACAACCTAATATCTACGAGGGGGTGGGACGTATGGACATATCTTCCTGGAGGGTCGTACCGACCGGGCGAATTTCCGCGACGTGATGCGTGTGCCTGAATCCGTCACACTACACTGATTTCGCGATTGTGTGGTGAGCAGGTTGAATAAGAAACCAACAACTGCTGAAAAGGTTTTCTTTCGACATCATAAAAGCGAAGTCCGTCTGATATGCGCTACAGTAACAGCAAAGTAAAGGTGGATTGTAAACTTTACAACGGAAACTTAAGAAGAATTTCTGATTCAAAATTCACAACCAAATCAGTGCCATGGCTGAAGGCGACCGAGATTCAGATCTGCTCATCACCCGGTTTTGCTCTTTTTACGATGTTTCTCCAGCAGGAAGCGAGCGGAATGTACGGGGTTTAAGGTGTTACAGCCCGTCACCAAGCTACACTGATTGGTAGAAAGCTGAACCATTTCACCAACACAGGCTCCGACTGCCGTGGTTTGGAACCAGCCCTTGAGTACCTTCTCCACTTCAATGATCTGATTGAAGAGCTTCTTGAACCGCTGCAAAAAAAAACCTCCGCTGCGTCTTCCCCAGTTCAGCTTCCATATGGTCGGAGCCTGTTGCTTTGCCAGCTTCCATTTGTTTCCTGTACTAATATCCTCTGACGGGACTATACGTTGGTGAAATACTGGGAAGAGATGGATGGGAGAATCCTACCGTTGAGTTGTCCTCAAAGTAATTACGCCAACGTTGCATTGAACTCCTTCAGCTCATAATTATGTGGCCATTCCCGCCGTTTATGCAGAAAAAACCCTTTCTATATCCTCGTTTGGCAGTAAAGACATTGCACGTGGATATAGGTGCTGCTCACTATGCGACTTGCTGAAATTATCGGAATGGGCGTTTTTTTACTGCAGCTACAAACTGCTTTGCAGCAATCCTGATTGCAGCAATCCTCTTGATGATTTCGTCAGTTGTCAGCTGACATGTTCCCAATAAGACACGTGATAGAGCCTCTTCTTCTAGCAAACCTTCACTTTGGCATTGTCCGTCCACAACCAGGTGAAGTCGGAGAGTGCAACTGTTCCAAAGTGAAGGGAGGCAGAAGGAGAACTACTGCTCACAACTGTTTTCTTCTTGAAATTGTTCAAACAACCTTAGTGCAGTGCGGCAAAGGACCCTGTTGATCTATCCTAATGAAAATGCCGCAAATTAGCATAAATATATCAAATTAATGGATATACCTCAGTGGAGCCTTGTTTAGTTAATTACCCTATTCAGGGCCATCAGTTGAGCATCGTCCAACTGGAATCCATCTAGATCGGTCTAGAAGGGAGGTCTTACAAATCACAAGCGAGCATAATGTTCGAACCCAAATTCCAGATAGTCGATGGGCTCGAATGGCCACTGATGAGAGAATGCTTTATTTACTGCAAAGAAATCGCGCTAACAACGGTCAGTATGCCTTGTGCAGCACAAGTGAACCGTCTCAGGGCTTTCGTCTAACCTGAAACCTCTCTTCTCTTCCCTGTTTCTTCCTCCTTCCTTCTTTTCCTTCCTTCAGCCTCTGTTCTCTCCTTCTTTACCTACTCGTTTCAACTAATGGAACGGTAGATGCCTCAGAAACCCATCTGGACCCTCGCTGCGAGAGTACGTTTGGTTGACTAATGCCCCGTAACCCAAGTAAGCAGGTGTATGGAATGATACCAGTCCTTTGACCTACGGAGCGCCCATGTCATTTCACTAGCGGTGTCCTTTTTTGATTACCTTAAAACCAATTAAGGCTGCAGATAGAATGCTTCACAAGAGAAATCAATAATAATAGTGTGCTTTGCTTCACAAGAGAAATCAGTAATAATGGTGTGTTTCGGTGGTTGAAGCCTACACGTAATGTTACTCGGAGTCGTCAATATGTTTCTACAGCGTTAGATAATGGAAACCCATACAGATCGAAAAAAACTGGAAAATATTGTGCTGCACTGCGCTCAATGCACCGCCGTCACAGAAGGCCACGTGTAAGCACATCGCAAGCGATGCTGGTCAGTACTAACATCTGGTTGAGGGACAACTCTGAGTAGCGCAGAGGAGCTCTGCGCGAAGTAGAAACCATTCAAAAAGGACGACCTCTCCGTGGAGAAATTGATTTTTCGCTGTCTCACGTCTGAAAAAGGGACTGGCGTCGTCAGCTGCGCTGTTCGGCTGAGACGAAAAAGGGGGGCCACACGCGAACATTCATCTAGGGGAATGATAAGAATGACACGATAAGGTACGTAGATACAACATAAATGCCAGACTTGCTCCTATGCAACACCTATTACAATGCGCTATTGACTATAATCAGCACTTTACCTTATGCCGCGTGGTGATAAGTGGTCCACATCGGCAAAAAGTGAATCAATATGTTCACTGGGTGTTCTGCGATATGTCCGAGTAGTATTTACAGGCCAACTGTTGGATATGGCGGAGGCGTGTATTAAAGGGAACTAAAAGTGCCACAGTGTCACACTGCTCAAAACTAAGCAAAACTACACA